CAGTGTAGACATCTCAGATTTATTTTCCGCAAAAAAGCCCCGATCGCGAAAATGGCCATCGGGTCTTTTTTGGGGAAAAGCGTGTCTAGATTGGCATGGATACTTTTCCACAAAAAGTGCTTTTCCGGAAAAGCATCCTAGCAATCTAGACGCGCTTTTTCCAAAAATACTTTTAAAGGAAAACTTTTCCGTTAAAAGCATTTCCAAAAAATCATGCCAGTGTACAGGTAGCCTTTGATTATAGATTCTAAAGGATTGGCTCAGTGTGGTTTGTGGGTAAGATCCAGAGTGTAAATTGACCTGGAATCTTTGGCTGGTTTCTTGGAACCGGACAGAACTTGTTCGGGGAAGGTGAGATTGGGTCCTAAAACCCTTCACCTGTGTATGAGGCCTGGGTCCATCTGGGACGTGGATATTGCTGGGGTATCAGAGGGGTTTTGCTCGTGAGGCTTCTGGCTGGCCAGGCAGGTGGCTGAAGCGCTCTGTGGGACTGCTTTGTGGCCTATTTAGGAAGGTCTCCAGTCTGGGGGCTGTAGAGAGTCCCAAATTTGAGCAATTTGCCCTGAGCAGATGCCCTCAGCTGTGCCCAGACCCAGCCTGGTCCGTCACACAAGAGCTAGCGACTGGGCTGTGTCAGAGATGTGATACATGCAGGAGCCCCAGGAGAAGCCTGTTGGGAGTGCTGCGCCCCACACACCTGCTCAGCCCCCTCCTAACCAACTCAAAGCAGAGCTGCATTGTTGAGTGAGTGTCTGACACATTCTGCAAGAGATTTGGCCCTAGCTTCCAAACTTCTCCTCCCCTCTGTTTTGTGCTTCTCCGGGCACCAGGAAAGGGATGGAAATGGGCTTTACCTCCCCCACAGAGACACTGCCCAGTCACTGCCCAGTCACTGTAGGGTGACTCCCTTTTCAAATGGCCAAAGAGGCCAATAAAGGATGTAGGGGTCACACTCACCTCTTGCAAGCACCCCCATCTGTCCATATGCGTGTGCCTGCACTGTTGTAATTTTACAGCCTTTTAGCCGCTCAGCCAAGCATGAATCAAATATCCCGTCTGGTGAACTTTCCTAATGCTGCTCATGCTGGTGCCCTCTGTTAGTGTCCCTAAGTCTGTTTTCCACTCAAAGACAGTGGTGCGTCCAGGGCTTCCCTTCCTGGAAACAACTTCCTCAGACAACCAGCTTTGCAGCTATGTACATTGGACAAACATCTC